TACATATGCAGTTAGCATACTAGATTAAGTTGATAAGAGTATCATGTTTTGTGGATTCAGCAGTCCTCAGGCATTTTATGTGATATAGATAAATATTTTCTTTTGTGTTCTTTTCCTGTTTCTATCTTTCTCTCTTTTTTTCCCCTCAAAGGATTATGTTATCTATATATATATAGCTGCTTCAAGATCATATGAAGGAATTGCATTTGAATTTTTAAATAATTATTTTTTCCCAATATAGCTGTATGACCTAATGTTTGCTACTTTTATAAAAAAATTCCTGATTTGTAAAGTCATATTTTATGCTATATAATTTTTTAATCCCAACACATTAATGAGTCAGAGTGTATATGTTCTTTGCATATTTGTGTGCAAGTGACAGACTTGACTGATCACAGACGTGACGGATTATTTTAAAACATAGTGGAAAACTGACCAGAACAAATTCCAAGAAGGTAAAAGACAAAATTTATACATTATACTATGATTGGGACTTTCTTTTCTGTGCACTTGAATTAGAGATCGCATTTAGAAAATTTATTGGGTTCTTTAATTTGATAGCAATGTTATTAATAAGTATATGATAAATAGCGTCATGTAGTAACAGTGTAAATAGAAGAAAACATGCAGTTTAGTTTAAAAAAAAAAAAAAAGACTTGACACTGTGGTGGCTCCAGAAGTGGATTTCTGACACATAATAGAACTATAGTAGATAATTGGGCCAAATTATGGGCTGTGAGCCTAGAACAGAGCAATAAACGTAATTGCTTTTGCTAACTAGTCTAACTCACAGAATTTCAGAGAAGTTGTGATTTTACGTGTAGTTGCCCACATGGCTTCTAGTCACACTACTTCCAGCATGAAATGCTGTTTGTGCTTGGCTTTATAAGAAGGTGAAGAAGAGCCTTTACATCAGTTAGATGCCATGTGACTTTTCACCTTTCCAAAGGTTTAATCAGTGGTAACAGATTAAGCTTCGTTTCCAACTGCGTGACAATACTGCATGAACAAGGTGTCAGAATGGATGACAGAATCCAGCCTTCTGGGACCACCTTCTTCCAATAGAAAGTCTCTTGTACTATGAAACAGAGAGAAAAGGATCATCTTTGAAATAAAATTGACATCAACTTGTGACAAGTCAAAATATTTTTACTCTTAGTTCTGTATTGAGTTAATCAGAGAATAGGTAAGACAGTTTCAGAGATGCTTCGTCACACTGGATATAAGACACTATCTTCTGACAGGGAAGCCATAGCTTAACGTTTTGATGCTAGTGTACTGTATTTAATTAAAAACATACTTTGCTAACATAAGATTAAGACATATTTGCATACATCTGCTTTGCTTTTCTTGTCCTTCCCTCGACACAGATAATTTTGTATGAGAACAAGACATTCTTTTCTAATCCCACTTTTACTGTACGCTTACCACAGCAAATGCTGCTCACGTGTAGACTACTATTTTGTCCAGATCTCTTCCCGCATTAAAAGACTTACATAATCGTATTGAGAGAAAGCACTTAGAGATCCATAATCCACTGGTCCTCCTGAACGACTTTTTACATAATGAAAATCAGTGAAGGGTAAATATGTTGACTGGGAGTTCCATTAACACTTGACATTTTTCTGGATAATGTATATAAGCAAAACACACCTTATATGAGAAAAAAAGAAAGCCCATAACCAATTTTTTCAGACTACAATCAATAAGCACTTGTTTAATTTTTAATCCAAAAAGTTAATGACATCAGCCAATTTACTCATTTTTCAGTAATTGCATTCACATAAAAAAACACTGTTCATATTTACATGAAGAATTTTGAAACTTTAATTTTATTTCATATTCATAATGCTATGAGTTTCATGTTACATTCAATTTACAACACGAGGAGAGTCATTTTAGTTATAGTTCTGCATTCATTTTGTGAGGAAATTAAAAATCAGTCTGCAAATTTATGCTTATAGACTAGGAGTCCCAGAATAAAATTATAGATTGTTGCATTTAATAGACACAGTTTTGATAGTCTGATAAAACTACTGACAGTTGTTGCTATCAATACCACAGGACCAAATTTCACAGTCCTTACGTTGTGTACATCTTTAGTTGCAGTGAATGCAAGCTTTGCTGGATGAAATTTCGAGTGCAGAGTTTGGACACAGTAAGAATACAATATGTTAGTCTGCTCTAGCTTTCAGTTTCCCCAAACCAGAGGCCCACTTTCACCGAGGCAACAATACTGAACAAGCAGTGCTGAAGGCAACATCATACCTGCATCCTATTGGTAGCTGTTTCCTAAGGCAAAGATTTTTTGATTTGTCAAGATTACTGATTTGCTTGCAGTATAAATTAACATAATCAAGTTAGGTAGTTTGAGGGGGGCACGTTTATTTAAAGAAAATTTTAATTTGGGGGCTTAGCATATCAGTTCAATGACTTTTTTTGAAAGAGGGACTTCTTGTTTAAAGGAACTCATTGACAAGCTGTATTAATATTACAGTTTTTGTGTGGTTTTAATTACTGCTGCAATCCATCCAATAAGTTACATGAACATACTAACATACTTTATTTTAAGGTAAATAAACAGTGACAGTAACAAGTTTTATTCTAAGTGTAGAAAATGCCACCCTTGTGCACACAAAAGACAATGTAATTTAAGTCAGTGATAAGATTTTAGAATATAACAAACTTAAAACTAAAATGTATGTATCTTATGAATAAAGACAAAATAATTGAAACAGAACAAGATTGAAATTAAGCAATGAGAATCTTCTGTTGTACTGAAAACACAGTAACATTCTCACTCACTGATCAGCGTCAGAGTATTTGTATTTTTATCATACTATTTAAATACAAAGTATTTTGATGTTTGACTTTACATTTTTCACTTACAAAAACAGTACTTCCAATCTCTTTCTGGTTGCATTCCAATGAGGAAAAAATCTTGGCATATTTATTTATTTCTTAATTTAAAAGAAGCATCAGTGTATTCTACATATAATAAGGTTTCACTGCTACTTCAAATGTTTTCATGCTTAAATTGGTAAAGACATTTAATCCTTTTCAATTTGGAGGATGCATCATTCTCTTGGTATTCTTTACAGTAGAATATTCTGAGATGATTCAAAGCTGTGTAACAATAATAACTGAAGAAGAGTTAAGGACAGTTTCTGCTCCCACTTCAAGCACAGACAAACACGATTTGGTGGAAAGAATGCCTTGCCATGCAGCCATTAATTGTAGTTAGCAATTATTTATTTCAGAAAAAACCCCCTGTACTTTAGAAGGAAGTTGTCACTGTAGTACAATAAAATAAAATCAATTCAGGGGAAAGTGCTTCTGGGCAATGGTGATTTCATGTTATTTTGAATTTGTATACTGTGTGCCTGAGCTCTGTCACATTGAGTGTACACTTGTATCAAGTGGTTTTTTAGGAGATTACTGGCAGGAACATTATCCATTTAGATGGTGCCAATCCTCTGTTAGAATTTTACTTAATCTTTTAATTTCACATAACCTAGATATAAGATAATACTCAGAATGAAGTGAGACTTACATAATTATAGGCTACTTACACGAAGTCCTGGGGTTTTATATTATTCAAAATCCAAACAATGCATAGACTGAAAATTTACAACTCATCAACTCACTGAAGCTTACTTTTGAAGATGAGATTACCTGTTCTTAAAAATTCTTCTATACAGCTAACCCTGGATAAACAGAATATGCACTTGAGGATCTCAAGATACAAAATGATGAGTGCTGTAAGTGTTACCTTTTACTTATCCACTGAAACCCAGACTTTCATTACTTGCACTTTCAGAACGTTTGGCTAAATTGTCCAGTCTCTGAAGGAATATGGATTGTTGAAGAAGCACAGAATGGAGTTCAACTTCTTACCTACCTTCATGAGAACTAAGTAACAGGAGAGTGCAAGCAGTGAAAATACCCACAAATCCTTGTACTGACTGGTGGTGGCAATCCAAATCTGTACCTTTTCCCACAGCTTTTGCTGTATTTTCCATAAATATTTTTACTCAATATGATTATGAAGGAGATCTTCACACTTAAAAATCAGTACATAGCAATTTCACCATGTCTATGCTTGGACAGACTGAAACAGTAGCACCAATAAATACAGACTTGACTTTATGTTAGAGTGCTGTTTGGGACCTCTAGGAATCTAGATTTCACTACATACTAAACACATCCTATGGAATGATTGTAATTGAAGAGAAACGAGTGTGGAGTCTTACTACACTCTGAATCCTCCTAAGAATGGAGCCTGGACTGGACCGATGTGCAGAACTCACGTTATCCTTCCTACTAATAGTATTCTATAAACTTACATTCCGGCCTCTGCTTTGCGTTATTTTTTCCCACTACAAGTGACCCGATTCAAATCTGACATACACCTTTCTCCCTCAAATTCAGTTCTCTTAAAAAAGGGGTTTCCTACAGTTTTTCAAATTATGCTTAGTTCTCAACTCAAAAAATTTAGCTCTTCAGGAATGCTGTCAACATAATTTTGTTTAACAAGCATGAACCAGTAACTTCACCAGATACATCTGACTGTTACATCTGTCTTTTTAATAATGTGTCCATAATAATCAATGCCATGGAATAACTATTTATTAAAAAAAACTGTATTACATGGTCTTCATATTTGTCTGTAAAGTGACTCGTATGTCTATGGCACTATAAAATATGTATGGAATATACATACCCATTCTTGAATGGGTAGTGTGTGTTCACTTAAACAGAACAAATTTTCATAAATTACGTAACAGAAAACATAATGCATAGGTCCTTAAACAAGACATCATAAAGCATATCTGCAAAGTTAGTGTCAGTTCCCACACTTCTACATTTAATCATTTCTAATGCTTCCCCAAAAAATTGTCAAAGTTTTATGCCATTCTTGCATTTACCTCCCAAAACTGCAGTGTGTCAGATTAATTGGACCAGTTATGAGTCCAGTCCTACAGGCTTCCTCTTCCCCAAATGATTAATCGGACAAAACTAAGGTATATTTGTTTATTTTTTTCTGGTTTTCTGCAAATAATTCGGCTGCTTGCAGAAATGTGACTGTACATATGTAAAACCCTGCCTGTCAACACGAGAGAGATGTTTTCGGATGTTTTGGAAGGTCTGCTTCTGCTATGGGTAGATTCATTGCTTCTAGTTTCATAGTTAATTGTGAAGTTCAAACTGTTTGCTTCTACAGAAAGAATAATTTGAATCAGTGGTAAGCATTAGCCTTTCTGCAGGGGAAGATAAAAGTCGTGGTAAATGTGCAAGAGAAACATGAGGCTTGTTAGTCTTTTTCTGAATAAACAACTCCCCCCTTTTTCTCTCTGGATCTGGAAAGCCATTAGTCATTAGCGTATGCTGTGCCAACCCATGCAACTGGGTTCTGTACAATCCAGTCTAAATCTGCAAACAATATTTGGTATCAAACATTGCTTGTTCTGTTTTCTCCATCCTCCTCCACACCTCCCTCGGCCCCAACCATTCACTTACATTCGTTTATTGGGGTTTTCATCCTTCCCTGCCTCTGCAGTATCTTGTGTATTTGATGAAAAAATTTCCAAACATTGCATTCACTTTGTCGGGCAAAACACCTGTGTTAGCCTCGAAATTCGTGCTACTCAAATACTGTAAACAATGACTAGCAGCAAACATCAGAGCTTATTTAAGAACAAAAAATACAGGCTTCTGAGAAGAGTGATCTATTAATAGCAGACAAATCCCTGTTATAGCCAGTAGTGATAATACCCTGATACTTTGTAGTTAACCATTACAAGTCCAGCAAGCGAACGCATTCTGTTTTGCGGTCTGATTTGCATCTTTTTTCTTTAAAGAACAAGAAGAAACAAACTGTGCATTTAGGATTTTGAGAGGCAAAAGTTTTGTTTTGTTTTGTTTTCAAGTGCTAGGTTTGAATTCTCAGCTCATCCAAGTGACCTGTTTCAAAATTAATTGTGAGGCATGAAACACTCGAGACAGACTTGAGAAGGACGGCTCTTGTCAGAGCCCACACTGGCCTAGGAGAGTTTTACCACACACACTGCCAGGACAATAGCAATAATGAGCACAGCAGAGAAAATAATCCCAGCTAAGACTTTGCTGATATCGCAGAAGGATTTATTCTCCTCCACAGAGATCATGCCAATAGAAGAAGCACCCACGCTCATGGTGGATTTGAGTTCTGCCCCAGGGTCTTGCTTAGCCTCTACTGTCCACTGTGGGACATTGACCTTCATTTCCATCTCGTACATCATCTCTCCTACCTGGTTGATTTCGTTCTCTAGATCTTTCAAATCCACCACGTCTATATTGTGCTCAGCCTCGTACTTCATGTTCTGGACGCTCATCGCCCTGGCAGCCACGCCAGAGGTTCCCCCACTCATGCCAGTCTGGATCAGGTGCTTTTTGGGGACATTTAGCGGGAACTCGTGGCCCAGCTCCAGGGCTCTCCTCATATCGATCTCCAGGATCTCTAGGCACGTGGAGAAAATCACCCAGAGCCTCTCGAACTCGGCTTTGTCCTCCTTACTCACGGTTTTGTCCTTCAGCACCGTGGTCAGCTTGTTCCTGTTGGCCACTGCCAGCTCCTGGGCTTTCTGCCGGGTTTTCTTGAGCTCCTCCCGCAGGTTCTGGGAGTCCGAGGTGCCGCCGATGGTCAGCACCATGTGCCGGTAGCAGGCGGTCACCCTGTTGAGCGCGTCCAGCAGCGCTTTGCACTCCTCCTTCACCATGGTGCCGGGGCTG